GTACATTCAGGTGGGTCTCTGACACTGATTTCTGAGGACTTGAAACAACACCTGACGTGCGTGAAGTCTTGTTATCTTGCACACCAAATTTCAGTAGCCTTCTGGGACACCAAATTACCAATAGAGCAGAAGACATGATACAGTGGTTAGGTGTGCAGCTTTTAGAATAATAATTTAGAAAGATGATAATGACTAAGTCTATTTGCCTCAAAGCCTTATATAATTTACCAGATAAAGTTTACCGTTTTTCTTCTCAGATCCCCAAAAGTATGTATTTGACAGACACCCTATTCTAAACATTATTTTAATTTTTTATTAAAAAAAAAAAAAAAACCGCAAAGCTCATTACTCCTGAGTGATAAAGGAAAGATTCAGGTACTATAAAATTATGGTAGGAAGGGGCTTAAGAAAAAGAAAAATGAGAAAAGAATAGTCAGATGGGGAAAATACTCTCTCAAAATGGAACTCTTTGCTAAGAGCCACAGATGCAATACCTTGAACCTCAGGAGAGCTTTAATTAGTCCAGCTCTTTCTTCAGCGCATGCTCAGAAGCTCTGGTGCTGACTGTAAATTAGGGCAAGGAAATCCAGCAGGGGCCTGGGTGGGTTAAGGGGGAAGGGCAGGATCTTAAAGGGGCAATGACCATTTAAAAGAGCAATGCTGGTCTGTGCCACCATTCCTGTCCTAGGCTCTGCAACCCACCACTACCAACCTAATTCCACCCTCTGTGTTCCCTACCTTAGTTAATAGTACCTCCATTTTCCCAGTCATCAAGGTCAGAAACATAGGAGTCATTCCTGATTCTCTCTCTTTTGCCTGTGCAAAATGCAGTTATATCAATTTTTGAAATTTTACTTTAAATTTGACTTCACTTCTCCATCTTTATTATTACTGTTCTGGTTTAAGCTCTCAGGTCCTCATTGGTTCTTGCCTGGGCCATTAGAGCAGTGCTTCAACTGGTGTTACATGCTTTTAACACTGCTGCCAAGTCATCTTTTAAAAATCATACCAACTCTAGCTTAAAATTCTTCAGTGGTTCTCTATCACCTGTAGGAGATAGAGAGCTCCTTAGCACTGCATACCTGGCCTCTATCAACCCATCAGATCTCATTTCTGACAATCCACAGGTTGTACTTTCTGTTCTCACACTAGCCAACTTCTTTAAGCATATATGTCCATATATGTCTAATACAAGATGAATTAATATATAAACTTTTCAGAAGATGAAATAACCCAATTTCTACTTAACAGTTTATTAAGTTAGCTATATCATATGAATATTAATTTATAGTTTTTCCATTCCCCCTACATCATGATGTCAAAGAAAAATTTTCAAAAGTTAAAACTATGACTTTCTTACCAATAGAGAATGAACCCATGTCAAAGATTTTATTTTAACTGATAAAAGAACCAGTACTCTGGAAAAGCTGGTGCTAAGAACAGTTGAGGAGCTGGTAATTTCTAAAAAAAAAAAAAAAAAGCATGTTAAAATAGGATTTCTAGATTTGTACAAAACAAGTGAATGTTTTATACAGTAATGAAGTAATAGGTTATCTTTTCTATTGAACATAGTTGTTTACATCTCTACCAAAAAAAAAAAATCTACAAATTTACATGGAACTGCACAGTATCTGGACTCTAATTTGTAGTAAATACACAAGTTAAACACAGGCAAATTCTCTTAGAGAATTAAGTAATCCTAGGGTGGACCTGTTAAACGACGCTTCATTACTACATTGAAAGGACACACAGTCCTCTTCTTGCTTTCTTATTATTTCCAAGTGCAGGCTAATTTTTCTTAACAATAGAAGTTTTTTAATAAAACACTTCACATGAATCTTCTCCATCAATGTTTTAGCACCACAACAGTAACTTCTTGAGTCACCTAACAAAGTTTTCCGGAATATCACATCTTTATGCCCTCCCAATATTTTCTCAGATAAAGCGTTTTTGGAATTGTTGGGGAGAAAACATTTTCCTTTTACCATTCTAGGTTCTTTGGCTGGTCTAATACTAACACAAAATGGATTAACAGGAGAAAAACATTTAATTTCATCCATACAGGGACTATGAATATGAGATCCAAGGACAAGTGGGGCACTTGAGGCTTATACGCTATCCTGAACTAAGGAATGGGATAGGGGCCTGGGGCTTCAAAGAGGTAAAGGGTGATTCATAGGACAGTAAGAAGAGCAGATGTTTGGTAATTAGATGTTTGTCGTGCCACACAGGTAAGTCTTTCAGATAAAAAAAGTTATCTCTTAGTAATCATTCTCTTTCTGGGAAAGGCCTCCTATCTAGATTCTTTTACGTAGTTTAAAGGAGAGGAAAATTTTTCTTGAGTCTGCTGTGCCTCCATTGCCTTCTGCTAAAAATAGTCAACATGCTAAAGTGACAAATGCTGGGGAGACTTGTTCTGCAACCCTTCAGACTCTTGTGTAGGTTCCTGTGAGTTTTAAAAGAGAATCGATGTATTAAATAACTATGAACATTATAGAAGAGTGTATGGTTATATAGATGTTAAAAATATAAGCGTAACTGGGCGCCTGGGTGGCTCAGTTGGTTTGGCAACTGCCTTCGGCTCAGGTCATGATCCTGGAGTCCTGGGATCGAATCCCGCATCGGGCTCCCTGCTCAGTGGGGAGTCTGCTTCTCCCTCTGACCCTCCCCCCTCTCGTGCTCTCTCTCTCTCTCTCATTCTTGCTTTCTCAAATAAATAAATAAAATCTTAAAAAAAAATCCTTTAAAAAAAATATAAGCGTAACTACCAAAATAATAATAATAATAATTAATAATAATGATGCAATCTGTAGGTCCCCAAAAAGCAAAAAGAAGGAAGGGCAGGATGAAAATGGCTTTCAGACTCCAACAGATGGCAAAGAAGGGGGGAAAAATGATGATGGCAAACAGAAAATGAAGAAATCATCCCAAATATATTGCTCACAATAAATATAAATGGATTTAATTCACATGTTAAAAGACAAAGACTATCAAATTGGATGGACAAAAAGACCCTCCTTCCATAAACATGCGTAGAACATAATGAACACAAAAGGATGAAAATAAAGATTACAAGGAAAACAAGCCAAAAAAACCCCCTGATGCAGCAATATTAACATTAGACAAAATAAAAATCAAGACAAAAAGCATTAAAAGAGAAAAGAGCTTTTTATCATGATAAAAGGAATTGAATAATTGGTACTTTTATGAACCTACAGAAATAAAAAGAACTTGATAAAAACTCAAAAATGATACACATTTTGGAAGATTTTGACACATTTATTAAAAACTGATATATCCAGTGGCAATACACATTACTTGAATACAATTAACAAGCTTGATCTAATATATAGAGAAACTTACACCCAAACAAATGGAGAGTATTTTCAATACACTCAGTCTATTTTTCTAAAATGACTGCATACTTGGTCACAAGAAACATAAAACAGTTTCCAAGATTTAATATCATCTCTGTTCAAAAAGCAGTTAAATACTTAAATTAGTAATCAACAATAAAAGGATGGTTTAAAAATAGCAATAACATTTACTTGTAAACTAAAAAAAAAAAGCATTAACAAATCGTTCATTAGTTTAAAGAGGACATTAGGATGTCATGGAATGAAATATTCCAAACTAAAGGCAAAAAAACCACATGACAAAACTTGTAGGTCAAAGAGAAATGCATAGCCTGAAATAGAATTATTCTTAAAAAAGTAAAATTAAAAGCAAATAAGTTAAACTTTCAAGTCATGTAGCTAATAAAAGAATTACACAGTAACAAAGGTAAGGAGGAAAAGAATTCACATAATCCACAAAATAGAAAACAAAGAAAAACCACAAAATAAAAATTGGGTCTTTAAAAAAAAGAGAAACCTCTAGCATGACTGATAAGAATGAAAAATAAACAATAAACGAATTAACAATGAAAAACAGGGCACAAATAGAGCCAGAGCATGATTTTATAAAACCCTAAGGGAACAAGACGAACAAGTTTATTACAAAACCAACAAAAGTCGATAAAATAGAAACATTTTTAGGAAAAAAAGTAATTTAAAAACAGAAAGCCATAAAAAAATGTATGTAATCTATCTATCTAATAAAGGGGATCGCCCTGCAAAACAAGCCAATCCAGATGGTTTAAAGGAGAGTTTTACCAAACACTTCCAACTCCTTTTAGGAAGCTGGGGTGAGCTCACCGCCAAATGCAGACGGGGACAGTAGGAGGAAAACTACAGGCCTATCTCGTTCCCTTAGACGTGAAAGCCTAAATAAAACATTAGTTGGTCACCTCTTCCGTCCACATTGTATTGGGGGTCATGGCCTGGACGAGGGAACCGTAGGCAGCTGTTAAAGCTCAAGAGGTGCGGGAATGAGGGGTCTCAAGGCCGGCGACCCCTCACTCGGCCCTGCCTCATCTTCCTCCGCACCCTTCCCGCCTGGCAAACGCTGCTGAGCCTTCGAACACTTTGGCATCCATCACCTCCTGTCCCACACCTTCACTCTTGGGTATTTCCTTTCTACCTCCTGCATATTTCTGTTCGCAAAAGAAGCTCGCGGCTTTGTGAGAATTTGTTTACCTGTGACCCCTACAAAGCTAGCACGGAGTAGGACTGCAAAGCAAGCCTGAGCAGCACTCTGCTCCGAAGGCTCCACAACGCCCCCACCCCCCCCAACCCGATTTGTGCAAAAGGACAAACAACGCTGAGCCGCCATCGGGCCACTCAGTTACCGCGCCCCCGCCCCAAGCGGGGCCCGGGCGCCGACTGGCCGCTGCTTCCGTGTTTCTCCATCCGCGAGGATGCCTCAGCCCGAGCCCACTTCCTCTTCCCTCGCCCCGTGAGCCGCGCGCTCAGCCAGCCCTCGCGGACCCAGAGCCCTAGCAGGAAGCCCCGCGGCCCCGGCGCCCCGCCCGCGCACACGCGCCGCCCCGCCCCCCGCCCCTCCCCCGTCTCGGCCCCCGCCCCCGCCCCCGCTCCCGCTCCGCGCCGCCGGCCGAGCCGGGGCTGCCGGGCCAGGCCCGCCATGGAGGTGGAAGAGGCGTTCCAGGCGGTGGGGGAGATGGGCATCTACCAGATGTACTTGTGCTTCCTGCTGGCCGTGCTGCTGCAGGTGAGTCCCCCGCCGTTCCCCCCCTCCAGCGCCCTGCTTCCCCGCCTCCCGCGGACCATTCCCGCCCCACCCCGGTCTCCCCCGCCGCGAAGCCCGGCCAGCCGCCGGGTCTCCGCAAACCCCGAGGGGCTGCGAGCCCCCAGCCCCGCGCGAGGGCCGGCCTGGGTGGGCCGCAGCACGCCAAGGTCGCCGGCGGGCCTGGCCTGCGCGGTGCCCGCCCAAGCGTCAGGGCCTGCCCCTTTGGGCGGTTCCCCCAGGCCCACCCACCCCGCCACCTCGAGTGGGAGAGGGAGTGGGAGAAGGGGGGGGTGTACTTCAGCCCTTGAGCTGGTGAATAAATGATGCCCAGTCCCGCGGTTACCTGGACTACACCGTGAAAGCACCAGGGAGTTGTTTCTCACCTGTGGCTACGTCACCTTGGAATCTGGAGCCCAGAGAGAGCCCTGATCGCCAGCTCACGAAAGGTCCGATCTGGAGCGGCCTCCTGCCGTTCTGGGCATCTGCTTACCATCTTTTCCCGATTCGAGGGGGCTTCCTGGGCCGGATGCTTTCCGTGCAGAGGCTTTATTTCTCTCCGATTGAAGTTCTGCTGGGTCATTCTGCCCAGAGGCCAGCGTCGGGCGGAGACTTGTATAAGTTGAATAATACCATCTACGACGTGTGGTTATACACTAGAATCGTTTCTTCCTTGTACAGAACTCTCAAACTGCTTGCCCACCCAGCCTAAAAATGTGGATTTAGTATGCTCAAGGTCACTATAGATACACTTTGCCAGGCAAGAGTTACTCCTTTGCCCTTCTGAATGGCCCATTTAACATCAATTACTGCTCCCAATATTCTAAAGGCGGTTCATTCACAAATTCTTTATTAGTATTTACTGTGAGTGGGTCATCGTACTACTTCAGTCAACACATATTTAGTGAGTGCCTACTATGTGCTTGGCAGGGGCTACAGTGGTGGAAAAATCAAAGTCCCTTTCCGGTGAAGTTTGCCTTCTAGTGGGGGTGGGGTGAGGCAGGCAGACACGTAAATAAGGACAGTGACCATGACCATGTGATGATAATTATCCTAAGGAAAGTACAGGGAAGTCCTGAGTCTAACCACCACTCTGCCAGTTGCTTAAACCTGGCGTAATGCAGCTGCTCAGCCGGCAGAAGGGGGTGTGGGGGAAGGTAGGGGTTGTCTTACTGATTCTGTTTTCCATTAAAATGTTTGCAAGTTCAGTTGATTATATCACCAGCCAGAAGAGCTGTTCAAATGATGGACAGATAGATGATGTCAGTCCTTTTTCTGGGAAAGCAAGTTCTCAGTACACAAATATGCAGTATTCTGAGTCTGAGGTTCCTTTAAGTTCGTTCTTTCAGCTTTAAATGTAATTTTCCTGTGGAGGAAAAAGTATTTCCTAAATCACAAAAGAGTAATACAGAGAAAATAGAATTGTGTCCATGATGCCTGATGTTGTTCATTTATAATACTTTTTCTTTGAGAAAATTCTTTTTCTTTCCTGTTCTAACCGAGAATTCCAGGCACGTGACTCCTCTTCTGAACAGTGCCACCCTGCCCCCCACCCTTATATTCCTGTCATCTGCTTACAGGCCTAGCCAGGTATCCACCCACAGAGGAGAAGTTTATCTTGAGGGTGTGCAGCACTACAAAGGCCACTGATCTGGGTTCAGGACCTGTTGTTTCCCTCACTTAACTTTTCTTTATGGCTGACCCCGTCGGTTAGAGTTTAGTACCAAAGAGCTCTAAGCCCGGGACCATGACTGTTGACTGATGCCTGCCTGACATGTGGTCAGGATTTGCCATCAAAGAACCAGGTCTTAAGAGTGTTGGGAATGAGTGACTTTATCTTTAGGTGTGGGCTGGGAGGTGCCTGTGCAGTGGGAGCCCTGGGAGCTCCATTACACTGTTGTAACACGGTGCTTCCATCATCTTGTGGGGTTTGCTTTTCAACCGAGGAAAAAGTTAAGAAGCCCTTTTCAGAATAGGCTTAGATGGGAGGTTGTTTGCTTTAAAACCCAAAGCCCTAGGGTGCCTGCCTGGCTCAGTTGGTGGAATGTTGATCTTGGTGTTGTGAGTTTGAGCCCCATGTTGGGTGTCGAGATGACTTCAAAAAATAAAATCTAAAGAAAAAATAAATAAAAATAAAAACCAAAGCCCTGGTCTCCCGTTGCCCAAGGAACGTAGAGACCACCTGCACAGCAGCCCTGCCAGGGAGAGGGAGCCCTGCCAGAGAGCACTGCACATTGTGGATGGGACTGCCAGGGAGAGGGACAGCCAGACAGGGAGCCTCTGCTATGGCAGGAGCCTTTTCTGCATCTGCGGTTTGGTAATGGCCATCCCCAGCTGAGAAACACAGCACTAGGGGGACAGAGATAGGAAGTTTATATCCTTTTGCGTTTTCTTTCTTCTTGGGGCCATTAGTATTATTTCTAATGGTTTTTACTCCCTTTTCGAACACATCCAAGTTCAAACTGAAAGGACAAAACCACATTACAAAACCAACTCTAAGGGTCTTTAGGTTAACTGTTTTCTTGGATTATTGATATCATCACGTAGCTCATCAAAAAGCTACCTCAATATCCAGTTTCCTTTAGCTAGGAGACTTATCTTCACACTCTTTGCAAACACAATCTTTGGAATCTCTATAGTGGTCACCTTTCAGGTATGAAAAGAACAGATGCAGATTTTGTAGATTGCTCTTCACATGTTAAGATGCAGATGCCCCTCATAATAGTGCTATGTGGTTTGAAAGTACATAAGCCAAAAGCTTAAAGGAAAAAAATATTTGCCTTGTGTAAAAATAGTTGTCTTATGAACAAGCAGTAATATTTCATTTTGCAGTTAGAGAAATTCTTACTCTCCAGATATATGTGCTCTCCCTTGGGTAAGAGCTATTTGTGGTATGTAAATATGAATAATTCTGTGTACTTTATTTCTATTTCTATTTCCTGACAGTGATTCAGACTTGACGCCATCGTCATTATTTGGTGTTTGCATCTGTGTATGTTTGGTTGCCAGGCTGTCTGGAGGAGGAGTGTTGGAATACAATTCTTTGTTTTTGGATCCCTTTAGACACAAAGTGAAAATGGATCCTACTTCTTTGTTCTAAGCCATAGACTCCAGCTCCTTCATTTTCCTAGGGATCACGGATCACAGATTGTAGTATAATTTGCACAGGATTTAAAACATCCATTAGCCAATGTGTAACCTGTAACGAGCATTAGTTTCACCAGCAAAACTGTGATGACATTGTGGACCCGAGCTTGAGGTACGGTCCTCTGGTGTTCTGGAATGCATTATTTTAATGTAAACTCTTAATAACCCCAACTTTATTTATCAGCTCCTAGAACTACCAGTGCATTCAAATCATTCACGCAATAAATGTCTTTTCGTGGTGCCTTGGAAAGTGGAATGACTGACCAGGCAGTGTTGCAGAAGAGGAAAGTGCATCAGTCAACTCATGAAAAGATGTTTACCTTCAGTGGTCATTTGGGACAGGCGTATTAAAGTGACTATGAAATATCATTTCACACTTATTAGATTAGCAAACATTAAATGGTCTAACGTACAGGTGTGATGAAAATGAGAAGTGGGAGATACCGGTTTAGAGAACTATTTGGCCCTGTCTAGTACAATTAAAACCTAGCATTGGACTCCTAGGTGTGTGTCCTCCCAATTCCTCTTGAACATGTGCACGAGGAGGTATGTCTAGGATGTTTACTGCAGCACTGTTTGTAATAATAAAAATGAGTAGCCACCTAAATGACTCGTAAAGAGGGACCAGATAATTAAAATGCGATATAAATTTGATAGAATATAACAGTTGAAGTGCTGGACCGGATCTATAAACAGCTACAGGAATGAAGTTCTAAAACACAATGTTAAATGAAAAAAATAGCCAGCATGATGTATACAGTGTGACACATAACTTCATAAAAATTTGTAAAAAGTGGGGCGCCTGGGTGGCTCAGTCATTAAGCGTCTGCCTTCGGCTCAGGTCATGATCCCGGGGTCCTGGGATCGAGCCCCGCATCGGGCTCCCTGCTCAGCGGGAAGCCTGCTTCTCCCTCTCCCACTCCCCCTGCTTGTGTTCCTTCTCTTTCTTTGTCTCTCTCTGTCAAATAAATAAAAAAAATCTTTAAAAAAAAATTTGTGAAAACAGGAAACAATACCATATTTGGTTTATGAATATGGACAATGTAAAAGTATAAATATAAAAAGTAGAAGGCTCCACACTCAATTTAGGAGATTGATTACCTCCAGGGGATGAAGGGTTGAGTGGGCGTGGGAGGGCTGCAAAGGAGATTTGCTCTGTATTCGTAATACTGTAGTTTTGAAATCTGAAGCAAATATAATAAAATGAAAGTAGTTAGTTGTGATGGTGGGTTCATGAATTTTGTTTTGCTTCTCTGTGTTAAATTTTGAAAAAAATACAAATGTGTAGATAAGATGTGCGTGCTTAGAAGAAAATGCTACAGTTCACTGTATGAGACTAACCATCCACTTTCCCTATTGCTGTTCCTTCAACCAGTTAGCGCTGTGAGTCGTGGTCTGTGAAGTTAACATTTAGGAGCGTGAGGTAGAGGGAGTTTTGCTCAGGGTGCTTTTTTAAACTCTGTATAGAACACTGTCACAACGAACGTCTCCCACCTGCTTGCATTTGCCTCCATGTCTTAATCTCCCCAGGAGATTCATGGAAAGGCTTCTTTTGGTGAGGTATCTCTGAGGTGGTTCTAACCTCTCAACCATCAGCAAGTAATGAAGTTCCTACCGTACGTATTGGTGAAGACCTCACTGGGTTAGTCGTTAAGACTAGCCCTTGTGCCTCAGGAGCTTGTCACCACCACCAGGGGTTCAGGCATGATGAGAACATAGGGCATTAGTAAGAGCTGCTCTGTCATGACTCCAGAACACAGGAGCATCTACCAGCGTTCTCGGCTCGTTTGAGCCAGTGTTATGCTGCCCTTACCCTCAGATTTAGTTCGGCTGCCCTC